AATTTTTTAGTGGTAATATCTACATAGAATGGGGACATTTTCTGGATCCATTAGTCATATATTTCAAGAGTTATGTTTTGCTGAGCCTCCCTGAATCCTTGCCCCTCTTCATGATGGGCGTTGTTCAAAATATTCAGTGCTGTCAATGTAGTCGTTATTTAGCGCTTCAGCGCTGTTCAACCAGTACTTCCTGGCATATTCCAGGTCGTTTGCCCACAAAGGAAACGAAAGGAACCAAGAGGAACAGCCCAAGAGTAACAGACACCTCTGGGTCTGTTACTGCATCAACAGGCCAGGTCGGAGAGGTGCTCTGTTGCTGCAGCAACGAAGCCGGGACATTTCCAGCGACCAGCCACGTTCGATCGCCACTCGGTGCATGCAGGCGGGGCTTCCCAGGGAAGTCCGGGCGGGAGCTCGGGTGCGCTGGCGCTCAATTTATATTCAGTATATATTTTTGTGTTTTATATGTATTTATATATTCTACATTTCCGGGTAAAGTTATGTGCGGCAATATCTCGAGAGTCGCAGGCTACGGTATTTTATTTGCGACATGATGGCGTGCACAAACCTGTCGCCGGCGCCTCCGCTCGAGTCTCATCACATCACGCCGCCCACACCGTCTGCACCTGCGCCGTAATGCAGGCACACGTCGATTTCTTTTCATTTGTTTCTCGTAGATACGGAAGGTGAACCGGCGGAAAGAAAAACTCCACGTGAGGCTCACCTCCATTTAGCCAGTGAAACCTAGTCAACTGGCGGTCTCCTGAATGTGCAGAAGGTGCAGAGGGGTTCCAGTTTAGGCTCGGAAGGCTCTTCACGCGATGTTAGCCGCTTTGACGGGCGATGTTGCGTCACATGATGTCTTTAGCGTGTCTGTTTTGAGCCCCTTCATACTCATTACATCATGGTCATAAAAAGAGTCGGTCTGTCATTTGTGCACGTATTTTTCAAGTAGCTTGAGTTGAGGGAATAATTTTCCAGGGGTCTTCTATGTAAAATGGGCCTCCTCGCATATGGAGAGGGGGGATCCTGACCGTGACTTTTAAAAGTGCCTCCTCAGTTTGGCGGGAAGAAGGCAAAAGAGTCTCAACAGCAAGTCATCCATACTTCTCGTGACACTATCTAGCGTACTCCCCTAATCTGGCGAAATTAAAGCTAGAGCTAGGGACACAAATTTGCTGAGTGGATTGACCCGTATGTGAAATCACTCAGGTGAAATTTGAGCTTCCCAAGCCATAACCTTCGAGTCAAATAGGGTCAAACAAGGCCAAACTCTAAATTAGTGTTTGAAGTACTCCTGACTTCGTCAAGCGGCCGCCTTGACCCTAGATTCCTGCTCTAAGCAAAAGGTCACTGGTGTTTATTTCAGTTCAGGTATCTTGTTTGACCTTGAGAATGCTATGGTGGCCAAAGACCTAAGCGATTGCTCTGGTTTTTACATTCGAATAAGCGTCAATGACTACGCTAGCAGTATGTTGCTAAAAAATGGTTGACCTTGATCATTTGAGGTCAGTGACCCGCTCTGGCCCCTGAGAAGCCTATGGAAGATGCATGTTGCGGTCTCTGTTAGAGATAAATTCGAAATGAGCACCAGAAACTACCACACAGGAAACTCTGGAGTAAAAACGCAGATTAGTTTTGACCTCGGTCCGACCTTTATACACGACCCTAGGTGAATGGAATCTGTGTGAACCCTAAATTTCATTGTTTTATTGCTTAAGAAGCTATCTCAGATATGTGAGGCTTCGTCTAACACCCTGTTGGCGCATCAGATTAAACAATTCCCTTGAAATTGCCTTCGCTGACAGCCCCGGCCTTGCTTTGCCCGGCCATAGGACAACAGCCTTACAAGTTGCATCTGATTTTTAAGAAAAATATTCTCTACTCAATTGCTTACAGCTATGAAAAGTTTGGCGTATATGTGCCGCGCCGTTTGGAAATCATTATTTACAAACCTTCGGATGAGGCTTAACTTGGTTCTCCACTCGGGCGCATGTTAATGCAGTGAAGAGCATCATGAACATCATGAACATCATGAACATGAATTAAGGTCCTGCTACCTGAGCTATGGACTCTCATCGATCTGGTTTGTTTGATAACATGTATGTGTAACTACAAAACTTTTAGCTTTGGTAAAACGGGGCTCCAAGAAAGGACGCGGGAAAAACATATTCTTACTCCCTGTCTGCTGGCAGGGCTAGGGCCAGAAGCCAGGTCCATCCATGTCCTGGAAGCCCTGCGTCTATGGTTCACATCGCTTTGATTTGATAACAGAGGGCAGCATATTAAACATTCTTTCATAATGTTCAAACAGTTATCTGTACAATCAGCACGATGCAAGCTTTACGTTTCATTTATGCGATATCACATTTGGTTGTCATGACTCATAAGCGGTTCGGGTCGGGCAGCACCATAGCCCATAAGATGCTGTGAAATGCAACCAATACCGAGGCTTGCGTGCCTAGGAGCAGACAGAACATAGCTGTCATTACAGATAACATCTCCCCACGTACCAAGGGAGGAAAACAGCTCGACGACGGAGCACCTAACGGGCGCGATTTTGCAGCTTGGCCTTCGCAGCTCAGACTGTATGTAATAAATAGCCGCGCCTCCTGTCGAGCAGAAGCTTAGTCAGAAGCCCACGTAAGCTCTCGTCCCTTGCATGTTTTTACCTCGATGAAAGAAAATAGGCTATGATGTTGCTGCAGCTGCCAGAACGATTGGACGGCAACGGTTCCCAGCCGGTCGCCGCTCACGGCCAACTGGCTGTTCTCAGGCGGGCGGTTTTCAAACCGTTATGTCGGCCAGCGATCGTGACTTGAGAGCCACTGGACTTCCCCGACACTTACCGGCCCTTGCCGCAGCTGAATGCGGCTCCTCAATCAATGCAATCGTGCCACTTTCATGTTCTTGACCGCTCACAGGGTCATGCAAAGAGCGGTGCTTGTGGTGCTTTGTGCTTGGTGATGCTCGTGGTCTTCACCACAAGTGCCGTGTACCCACTAACGAGAGAGAGAGAGAGAGAGGGGGGGGGGGGAGAGATATTTATATATAAATATATACTTTAAGATTTATGCCATTTTCCGCAGGCGTGGCCGAGTGATCAAGGTGTCAGATTTCAATACGTGGCAGGATCGCCCCAAAAATATTAAATACCGAAGTCATCTCGGAAATTCCGCAATTCATTTCCTCAACGTGAGCATTGGCGGCGCTCGATTTAAAAGCCACGCGCATAAGGCTTTGTGGACGATACCTTGATTATCATGGGCAGTTGAAAACTCCCAAAATAACATAGCACAGCACTTTTCCTGATCACATCATGTATGACACGTTGAGGCAACAATCACGTCACTGCGTCATGTGAAAGAGGAACTCAAAGGTCTAGACGTAGTGTTTGGAAAACCATTCTTTTCAAATTAAGAATCTGCACGTCACCCATGAATGCCACCAGGAGTGCTGGCGTGTACGTGTTCAAACCTGCTGCGATTCAGTGAACTCTACAGTAATATGCATTTGATTCCTGTCAAAATGAGAAAATAGGTCGTAACACGCCCTGCTGGAACATGAGTAAAAGCTTAAAGATTACGTAATCCAGGCACGCAGGAAGGAACTATAAAGGAATTCTCTCCAATGCTAACCAGTGTGGAACTAGTGTCAACATGCATCAAAACTCGACCGCATTCAATGTTACATGTAAGGTGGGATGTCCGTCACACCCTCCTTTTCCCTTTTTCTGTTGGCCGTACGCGGTTCATTGGCAGTTTTCCACTCGTTCAAGTACAAGTATTTGACCCGTGGTGCCACCGGGGCGGTTAACACAGCTTGTGACCGGTACCGAGAGAAGCAACTAATGCTGGGTGCTTGTGCTAATGGGTAACTAAAGAGTTATCTCAGCTACTATTGAGATGACTGCATTCATAAGATGCGTGCATATCATGTCTGATGATGTTTAAGATAGGAAGCCAGTTACTTATAGTTCTAGTGAGACTGAGTGGGTGATGACATGCGAGGATGATTCGGTATGATCCTAAGACCGCTGATTACCGTGCTCATGTGCCTTGTTCAGTCCGGGCAGCATGTCTGGATGAAGTCTTTCGTGCAATGGCTGTAACCGCGAGGTAAATCCTCGCATTCTGCCGGTTTCTGACGCTGATGACCAGTGCCATGCATTTTGTTGAAAAGCCGCGGTTAGCCCCAGTGTGGAATACGGTGATCGCACCCTGACGTGTTTTGTGACATTTAAGGTCAAGTGCAGATAAATGTGAATGCAGCGACTCGCTCACCAGCCGGGTATTCCGGACGCGTGACACTCGAGGACTTATAACGAAGCACATCCCCAACAACAAAAAAAACGCTGCAGTCGTGCATGCGGCCGGTGTTGCTTTCAAACTGTGTTGTCACCACCGAACTGTCCCACGACAGGGATGTTTCCTCCTCTGGTGCATGTTGCTTGCTTGCTTGCACATGATATCTGCTGAGCTGCAAGAGAAAGTCCCGTCAGCTTCAGAACGTGCGTCACTCGGCCCTTTCCGTCCGATATGTGTGGCGCTCCTGTTGTTTACTGACCCGGAGGACTTTCCTCGGCCATCTTCCGCCTGTCTCGTTAGAGGCGCGCCTGGGGAACACATCCTGCTGGTGCCGCCTAAATGCTGACGAGGGACACGAAGGCAATGGTACTCAATTGAAGTCGGAATCGGATATCATCGAACAGAACTCACCCCAGTCTCCGTCTTTGCGGGAGTCCCCACCCGTCCCCTGGCTCGCCATGGGTGCTGAGTCCACCCGGGTTCCGTGCAACCCCACACAATGCTCGAACCCCCCGACAGCCCGATGGGACCTCCCTCCACGCGACGAGCGACGCTGTGTGTAATCCGGCCATCCCCGGCCATCCCAGGCGCGCGCAGATTGCCGGCCGGCCGTCGCGCGGCGCCACCGTCGCCGGCCGGGATTCCCGGCACGGCGAGCCGGCTGGCGCGTCGTCGCGCCACAGTGCGGGCTCAGTAGAGCGGCGGGGAGGTCGGTGCAGCCGCGCGATCGACGCCGAACATGTCACACAACGGAGTGAACGGCGGCTGGAACGGCGAGGGCACGACAGTCAGCGACTGCGCGGCGGCGCTGCCGACACGCGGCGCGGCCCCTCACCGGCTGCGGCTCGGCAAGCAGCGCGACCTGGCGCCACTCGACAGCGGCTTCGTGTCGGGCCTGCTGTCGCCGGCCGATGGCCTGTCGCCGGCGCCGGGCGCGCCGCCGCTGCGCTACCCGAAGGAAGCGTCGCAGCGGCCGGGCGAGGGCGCGGACGAGCGGCTCAGCGCCGGCCTGAGTGGCCTCCAGCTGGACGAGTGTGAGCTGAGCGGCGCCGAGCGCGGCGTCTGGGAGCGCCGCTACCTGCAGGTGCTGGACGAGGCCTTCCGCGGCGACGAGGACGGAGACACGTGAGTGCAGCGGGTGGCGCCGGCAGCGCGCGGCCGCCGGGGCGCCGCGTGGCGCTCTTCGGCTCTGCGTGGCGGAGCGCCGACGGATATCTACCAGCCGTGTTAGCCAGCATCGGGCTGGCGTGCTTTGCGTCAGGGTTTAAGGGGAAGCCACGTCACCATTCGAAACATGGCCGAAGGTGGGAACGCGTGATGTTGCTGCAGCCACGGCAAGAAGGCTTTATTCCAGTCATGCATTTCCGTGGATCCTTTGCGTTTAAAATCCAGCGGGCTAGCACAAAATCGCAATTGGAGTGTCACAACTCGAAGTTTTGCCTGAAAATCAAATTGAGTGCGTTGCGAACGTGCAAATTCTTTTCACGTCATAGAACAATATTGCGTGCTATTGATCTAATCATTTTTACGTGGCGGCCCCGAAGTTGTGTTGACATTTAAATGCGCATCCAATCCAAATCCAAATTCACGCAAAAAATTTAAAAGAGTTGGCATGTGCTAACAGGGGTTAGTTACAATGCGCGTAAGTCCTGTTCGCATTGTAGGCGTTAACATAACTGGGGAACCAATGAATAATGGATACATAGCTCGAGTTTCAATCACTACCACCCCTCCCCCTGCTGTTAGTGTTGGTGATGTGTTTGGCCTCGTTCCGATTTGACCCACATTCGCCTAGTTGTTGTCCTTCGCATGCCTTTGTTCCTCCTCGCATGCCCTCCAGTGGACAAGGCTTGTCGAAATCCCCGCCGCGCGCCTCCACAAGCTCGAATGTCACAACCACAAAAACAACGCGGCGGACTTGCGAAAACCGCTGGAAAGCTCCCACCATCGCCCGCCTGACACCCATTGACGTCGCCTGCCGTGCGCGCCGGGCGGGCGGCATCTGCGCAGCGGTTGCCACCACCGCCGGCCGCGCGCCCTCGCGCTCCGGCGACGGGCCTGCCGCCTGGGAATTCCGGGGGCGCTTGCCCGGCGCGAGCCAGCGACCCGCGCTGCCGGGCTTTGTACGGCGGCACCGAGGGCAGCGCAGGGCCTCGGCCGCCGAATGAGCGCGGAAATCCCAGTCGGCACAGGGCCGGGTCAAGGTCGGCGGCGGAGGGCCGTCTGGAGCTGCCGTGATGGCCGGTCATCCCCAGAACGTTACGGTCCGTCCGGCCGGCTGTTCTAGGCTGGCGTCACCGGGATTACGACGGTGGGCGCGCGGAGCGGCTGTGGGAACCGCGTCATTCACAAAAAAGACGAGCACGGGACCACGGACCGCAGGTCCTGTTATGGTGGCCAAAAGTCCTGGGGAGAAAGACCACGAGCTGTAGACTGGTTCTTTCCGGATGGATGATTAATGGCTGCAGCACACAGCACCTGCCGGCAGCGATGAACGGTCTTGCAGTGACCATTGTGGTGCGGCGTGCCCTGCGTGATGATCGTGACATGCTGCGGGTTGCGGCCGTGTGACTCGTCGGGTCCCAGGGAAAGACTCCAGTGCCATTTTAACGTTTCTCCTTTGCTAAATCATGGCAGTTGGCGCCAGGGTATATTGCCGGGCCCTCTTGATTTGAATTATGATCAGCCAGCCTTTGTCAGGAGAACGGGGACTTAACATGTCTTCAAATACAAAATCCGAGACTTAAAATCCATTTATCTCGGAGTGAGATCTGGCCGTGAATATTTGGCTACTCTCGTCCTCGCGAGCCGTTCCATCTGCATTCCACCGGGCAGGACCCTCGCGCGTCCTCTTCCTGCCGCCCTGCTACTTCGTATGTATGCTGCGGGCCGGCTCGGCGCCCGTCTCTCTGGCCGTCCTCGCCCGAGGTCACGTCGGGGTCGCGGTGACGCCGGGTTGATGCGGTCTGTCGGCAGGCCGGCCGGCCCCACCGATAGCCAGCGGACTTTCCGCCCCCTGTGAAAACAGCGGTCGGACAGACGGCTGCCGGTGGAAATCCCGCGGTAGGCTCCGTTCTCACCGGCGACGTTCTCACCGGCGCCCACCGTTGCAGGCACCTTCACCTGGCCATCATCTACGAGTACGCCGGCGTCGCCGAGTGCCTCGTGCGGCTTGTGCCGCACCCGGACTTTCTCAACCTCCGCAACAGCTACATGCAGGTGAGCGGGGCGCCGCGGCTGCGGTGGCACCGAACCGGCAGAGGCCAGGGGACCGCCGGTCCCGATCTGCCGGCGCGGGGCCAGCTGCAGTTTCCTGTGTTCTCGCGGAGCGCCTTGTTGCTGTGGCTGGGTGCAGTTTTGTTGCCTCGTAGTTCAGAACAGGATTGGAAGCTTCCAACAAATTATGGATGTTAAGTAGATTTTTGGGTCCATGACTCCATCCATGCATGCAAATTCAAAGATCTCATGTTAAGTTTCTGAGATGTTGAGAATGCAGTTGCATCGCTGATAAGAGTAATGTCACGTTCCCAGTGTGCAGGAAGGTTACACACATGGTTCAGCGGCGTCTTATTTTTCGTTGACTTTTGGAGAACTCAGCTCGATTTGTCAGTCGGTTGAATTCCTTACAGTGAAAGTAATTTTTCAGAACTATATTTCGGAGAATTATTGAGCCGGCTTGTGGCCTAAGAAATAGTGGCTTGTGGCCTGGGAAACAGGATATGTCGTTCACCGCTCACACACCCACACCTGCCTTAATACCTGCCGTACTGTGGGCCTGCCTGCCGCTCTCAGTATCGGCCGGGCGGACAGCCTGCCATCTGGTGTCGTCCTACACTCACCGTGATCATCCTCGTATATTGTGTCGATATTCCAATGTGCCTGCATGAACGAGAAAAATCCCCGGTAAATAATATTGCCGAGTTGACTTCTGACACACAGCTATGATTGTATAGACGGATCGAATGGTTGTAACAAAGAATGTGCCGACAATACCTGGGTGTTTCGCAGTTAATGACGCCACCGATACCTGGCATGCTCTTTCCGCCAGGGGATTCTTGGGCCGTGATGTGATTAGATTGTGTCAGTTCTAAAACTGTGTCCGTCACGGCGGCCCAGCCTGTCGACCACAATCTTAAACTGATTGTCAGATCGCTATCCCCAACCCGGCGCTATGCTCGGCTCGCAGACCGGTCGTACGGACAGAAATCCCATCGCCGGTTCTTGCCTCATCGGCGGCGGTTTCAGTTGCCATTTACGGTCAGACGCCCAGCGGCGTGTCCGTTGCCCCAGCTGTCTCCTTACGCCGCCCCCGTTGGCAGACGCCGCTGCACCTTGCGGCGCTGACCGGCCAGGCGGCGCTGTGCCGCCACCTCGTGGTGGCCGGCGCCGACACGAACCACCGCGACAGGCACGGCAACACGCCGCTGCACCTGGCCTGTGAGAGGGCCGATCGGCGCTGCGTGCAGGCGCTGACGGCGCCCGTCAGCGCCTGCGAGACGCGGCTGGCGGCCCCACGCTACGCGCTGCCACCGGCCGCGCCGCCGCCGCCGCTCGACGAGTGGAACTACCAGGGTGAGTGAGCAGCGCCAGGTCCGATGTGCCACGCCTGTAGAGGGGAGGAGCGGGGAGGCGAGTGAGCCATGGGTCCCTGACAGTCCAATAGGCCGATCAGGAGAAAAGTCCGGTGTCTTTTAATTGGACTGCACAGAGATTCGATATCAATGGACGCAAAGGACCGTGGCGGGAAATGTGTCGAGAAATCGTGCGATAGGATTTCGGAGATTGATGAAAGCAAAACCAGCATTTCTTGAAATACACGGTTGGTCTTTTTGCACCTCAGCGCATAAAAACAGATCAGATTCAGATGTAGCTTCTGTCCTGTCTGATTATTATTATTACGAGAGAAAAAATCGTGCGAGAAAAAAACAACCGTACCATTCTGAGACCCAAGATCATTGCATTCAGGACGGCGACCTTGCCCCCCCCCCCTTCCGCCGCCGCGCCGCAGCTGACGCGTCTGTCGCCCGCGCTTTTGGTCGCGCTGAATGAACTTCCGGCGGCGCCTTCGCCCATTGTCGGGCGCTTTGTGGACTGCAAACCGCCGCTTTCCCGCCTGCGCCGGGGGGCGTCAGGTCGCGACGCTGAGTAACGCGGCTTTGCGTCACGCCCCCGGTCGCCACGAGCCTGGCTTCCGGCGCGCGGCGGTACGCCGTACCCGGCACCCCTCCAGATCTACCCGGCCGGGATACCAGCGCGTGTAAAAACCTCGGACGTGTCGCACGGCCGTCGGTCGGGCGGCGGAGCGTGACTTCGCGGCTTCGGGCCGTCTGCCGGCAGCGGCGTGTTTGTGTTTGCCATGACGGCATGGCTCCCGCCGGATGTCAGATTCGCTCGGCGC